AGGGTTAATTTATAACAGGGCACATACTAGCAGCTGCTCTCTGCTATATTTTTGCATTTTATGGCGTGTAATGTCCTATATAGTTCTTACCTGTGGCTGCCTACACATAAATAGAATTTAAAGATGGATTCCAGTCACATTCATGAAAAAATGAATGCATTTGTGTATTAATTAAAATGAGTAGACATAACCTGAATTACACTTAGTTTGCTAAAACACTGTGTATAGGCTGAATAACCTTTTTCCCAAAATATGATGAAATTTGTGACAAGTCTGCAGCTCCACCCAGTGCTGACACCAGCTTTCATAACTAGTTTGCATTTAATTAATTCTATAATCTATTCGACCCCTAATGTTTCCTTAAAGAGCACCTGTCAGCTGCCAAAAGCTATCACATATGGGTGTTTGTTATCCCCCTTGTAGTAGTAATACAGTTAAATAATAATAGTAAAAAATAATAAAATTCATAATAATAAAAAAAATTAAAAACACCCCCATCTACCCGCACACACACATACAAACACAATTGAGTGTATATAATTTACACTTATATGTAAACAATAATTGTACGAATTGGGTATTGCCATGCATGCCAGGGTGAGAGAAAATTTTCTAGGTCCCTCATTTATGGTTAAATCTAAACTAATGGGCTGTAAAAGTAGGCTTTGCCTACTGATGATTTTGGGTGCTCTCATTTTTTGATTTTTGGCTCACACGGTTTTGAGGCTTGACATGTTTGGTATCTATTTACCTGACACAAGCTCATCTTTTATTTTGCAGAAAAAAATTGGGAATTTTATTGTGTCTGTGTGCAATACAATTCATTAGTGTATTGATTTAGTGTATTTTTTACAGAAAATGTAGATTTGATAAACAGTTGATATAAACAATTGCAGCAACCATTCTTTTATTCTACAGGGCCTCTGCCCCAAGAAAATATATCATGTTTTAGGGGTTTTAAGTCATTTTCTAACAAAAATGCAGATTGCATCATGTGTGCAAAAAGAAAAAAAATACTTTGTTCAGAGAAGTGCTTAAAATGGCACTAAGGGGTCTATTTACGAAGCAGCTGAAGGATCTAGCCGTAGCTTCAGCCGATCCTTCGGCTAGCTTCGGCCCCAGGACCCCTTCGGTTCAGTAGAACTGAAGGGCTGCTGTACGGGC